CTGTAAGTTCGTGTATGTACTCGTATAGGCGGCGCATCCACGTCTGCCATAGATTAGACGACGGCCAGTTGGAAGCTAATTATGCCATGCTTCATTATGCCATGCTTCATTATGCCAAAGCTCATTAAATTCTGTCTTCATCTGGGCTTCATTCATTAACATGTATTTATTAGGTAGAACTGTAAGTACCCCGAGACGGAACATTTTCGCCGCCAGCGTTTCTACCTACACAATACGTCGGTGCTTCAAGCTATAAATGTACAAACCTAATAACGAAATGTCAACAATAGGTAAACCCATGTTTATCGTCATATTGACGAATAAGAATTACGAATACGAGCTATTACATAATGTTTATTTATAATTTTACAAATATAATTGATAACTGTTTAAAACCATACTTGTTTTATTTCCCAATATCCCTAGAGGCCAGAGAAATAATTTTTGAAACAACATTAAATATTAGTACAATGAAACCAGAGGTACGAAAATGTGCCCAAAAATATGGAAAAATATAATTCCTAGGTTGCTACATAGACTACAGAGACTATGGAACGCCAATTTCTAGGATTCTTATAGAGGTATACCTTTTTCGCACTCTCAACGGTCATCAGTTTTTTCTTGCATGTTCGTCAGTTAACAGCATTTTTACTTTAAATAATCTTAGAAACTACATATCGAGGGGTAACGGACTATTTGTTTTAAGCGACATTTTGGGCGATATTGAGTTATATACCTATATATTCGGAATCAGCGAATTTTTCTCCGTCGAATATATAATTATAATGACTTAATATCACCCAAAATGTCGCTTAAACCAAATAGTCCGTTACCCCTCGATATCATTCAAAAACTTACATTGGTACTTGCCGTTGGTAGGTTAGAGCCCGCGCCCTCATGCATGAGAAAAAAGCGGCCGTCTTAAAACTCCGGGCCACCACGACTCTCGGAATCAGTAGACTAAGCATATCCACATGAATGGTGGAATGAGACAAAAGGATGTTATTTCCCCCAAATTGTGCACCAATGCTTTGGAGTATAGTCCGTTTAGCACCTCACCCTATCAGTACAGTGCAGTGTAGAAAAATCCTTAGTTTTAAATAAATAGAGACAAAAAAATATGTAAATAAATTATTATGTTTTCGGCTTACTCACGTAATAATTTGACAAGGGAATCGACTAATTTCAGGCTATGCTAGAGGCTACTATTCGTGAGCAGTATTCCGCGACCCGCGACGCGAAGTCTCACGAAAGTTACAATACAAAAAAAAAGAATATAGTGTACCATATTCAATCAAGAAGATAAAAACAGAAAAAAAACCTTGATGACAACAAATTTAATACAGTCTGGAGCTGACCAGTCCCAGTTGACAGCGCCCGTTCACGAACATGACACGTACCTACACCAGTAGCGCCCAACTCAACTACATTATTGATTACTAGCTTCTGCCCGCGACTTCGTCCGCGTGGAATAGTGACTGCCAGTTCTTTCGAGATTTTTGGATTAAAAACCATTCTATGTCCTTTCTCGAGTTCTAAACTGTCTGTACCAAAATTTCATCCAAATCGGTTCAGTAGTTTAGGCGCGAAGGAAAGACAAACACACCGATAGACAGACAGAGTTACTTTCGCATTTATATTATTAGTTAGGATTAGGAAATATTAATTAGGATTTAAGTAGGTATCTATTTAATTTAAAGCTTCTCTATAAACAATGTTTGAGGTTGTTTTATTTTCTGGTAACAAAATTATCTGGTTTTCGGATGATCCCACTCTTGATAGACCAACATATAATTGCCCATGGGAGAAACATTCTTTACGTAGGTCATTGCCAACCAAAGAGAATGTTTGTCCCTGGGACTTGTCCCATTGGGTCATCATCTTTGTTAGGTTTGGGTCATGACTGGTTTTTTTAAAATAGAAAAGATAGAGATATGTTATCGCGGACTTTTTGTAGAAATAATTAAGACGAACCAGGAGACCTACATAGTTTTTAATTTTAAGCAACTGTTTAGGTAGCGCACGCTTAATAAACATAATACCGGCCTTATCCCTGCGCCCCTCCCGCCTTGGCAATAGGTACTCACTTCGAAACGGGCCGTACAGAAAAAAATCGTAATATTTTAATTTCGCCATAACTTCAAAACCAAACATCCGATTTTAATCATTTAAAGACCGAGTATTATCTACATAAACTGTACTTAGTGATGAAATAAAATATTTTGATAAGGATTAATAGCATGAGTGAATGATGAAATTCAAGATTTTTTCTTAAAAAATGCTAGTTGTGCCTTACTGGACCTAGATAGGTATAGTGTGTCGCGGACTTTTTTGTAGATATTTATAAGATCTACAATTAATTATAACATTTTATGGTGCTATCTTTTATAGTTTAGGCAGCGCACGCAAATAATTCTTTTTTATGAGGATTTTGTTTCTGACTTGTTAGGCAAAACTTGTGATAGCTCGGTAAATATACATGTTATATAAACAATTTATAGCCTATAGCACTCAGGAATAATGCAGCTTTCTGCTGGTAAAAAAATTTTTAGAATTGGATTATTACTTCCAGAGATTACCCCTTGCATACAAAATTACTTTTACCTCTTTATAATATTAGTATAGATGTGCGCGACGGTGGCGACGCTAGCGTTTTCAACATTTGCGGCAGCTGTCAAATAATAACAATGTAAACATTATAATTTTCTTTGCAAATACAAATAAAACCAAAAATTAAATTAGTATTTTTGACATTATTTAAGTGCAATTTATTCAATAGTTTTACTGTAAAATGAATATAATAATAAAAACTTTGCATCATCCGCATTTGTTTCCAATTTCTGCCGTGTTGTGCGCTGCGGTCGTTATCTGTCCGCCACTACTCGCTTTGCACATAGCCAATATGGAATTGAGCGATCCACTGCACGTGCCCCCGCCAATAAGATCTTGGTTTACATATAAATAAAATTGGAGTGTCTGTAATAATGAAATAACCGACACATAATACGACACATGTACCAAAATAAAAATTCTGTCTGTCTGTTTGTACATGGTTAATCTCGAAAATGGCTGGACCTATTTTGACGGTACTTTATTTGTAGGTAGCTAATGTACTAACGAGTAACATAGGCCTCCAAGCATTTTTATCCTTCAGTAGCTTCTTCCACGCGGTTGCACCCACTCTTCTCCGCTCCTATTGATTGTAGCATGATATTATATTGCCTAGGTGCCTTCTTCGATAAATAGATTATATAACATAACATAACGCCTTTTATGTCCGGCAGAGATGCACATTATTCCACTGTACAATGTAACACCCACTTTTCACTATTTGTGTTATGAGTGAGCCTATTGACATAAACCGGGCACCATTCTAGACTCCGTGCTAATACTGAGATTTTTTTAAAAAAAACCCAGTAATACTTTGCCCGACTCTGGAATCGAACCCGAGACCCCTTGCCCGGCAGTCGCACTTGCGAACATTCGGCCAACGAGGCAGTCTACGAGGTTCCTAAGATTAGGGCGAAACAAACTTCAGCTTTACACAGGGTGTCCAGTAAATAGTGCACCATACTCTAAGGGGTATTAGCTGGGATCAATACCTACTTGAACAACCCAATGTATGTTCAGCAAAAATGTACGGTTCAAATAAAACACCAAATATTTCAAAATATCGAAAAATCACTGCCTCGACTCATAATATATTTTAGCATTACTCGTTAAAAAAATATTTTTATGATAAGTTTTATACAACAAATTATTCGTGGATAAATTTTCTACTTATTGGCAGCTCTTTTTGTATCAGGAATGAGGAAGTTTTTAAGAAAAGTTACTTCTGTTGCGTGTGCGTGTCAGCTCTCGTGGAACAATATTCTTGTCGGTCAACTGTCAACTTACAACAGTGAAAAAATGTATGTGGCAGTTTCATAAAAACAAACGTAAAATCTACCTCCTTTAATTGTGTTTTTGGAAAGGTATAATAATAGTACATTTACTATAATGCTTGACTTGTTTACATAATTATTTTTAATGTATATTTTAAATTTTATTTCATTTAAGATGTTTAATGTTATATATCCTCTGAATTTTTGTTATAACATTTAACACAGAATCCGATACCGATAAAGGACTTACGTACTATTGTCAATCTAGAAAATGGCTGACATAATCTATCCATATGTCTAGTACGATAGTGGCGTCTGTCAGACACTGCTGTCGTGCCGTGTCTATACTGTTACAGTGTGCAATGCGCCTTACGATATATTGTTTTTATTTACGCTTTCGGTAAAATTCTTCATGTGGTGTCATAAAGTCAGCCATTTTTAGCAAAACATTGTAATCGAAGCTAAGTAAATTACAAATAAACATCCGAACATATTGATTTAAAAAACATTGATTTAACAACACTCAGAGGGTCAACGTGATTGCTTAGTGTAAGACTTAGAGGATAAAAGGTTTTTATTTCGTTAAATTTTGATTCTGTAGGAACATTGGGGTACGGAAGAGGATTATAATAATGTAATATCCAAAACACAATTCGTGTAAACTCGACTAAAGAATATGCTAAATCGCAATCGCTTATATAGGTAACTAAACTGAATGAACTGCGACTCACCATAGTTTGAATGTTTAACAAATGATTGCGCGCCAGTCATCAGCCTTCTATGGCCATCTTCTATACGATGCAGTACTAGATCTAAGTGTCACAACAAACTACAGAATTAAAAGTTTGAGGGCCCTGACAAAATGGGTCCATCGATAGACGATTAGACGCACATCTTCTCTCTCCTCACAATATTTTTTTTATTTTGAGAGGATTGATTACTCCATTAATTACAGCATCTGCGGTTGTTCGTACACCCAGCTATATACCGGCCGATATAAATACAACGGATCCAAATGGGTCGGATGTCACATTCGTTTCATCATCGAAGGTGTCACGGCGTGCGTATTGGTAGTGCACAAATTTTATGCCGTAATTATTTTAACTTTATCAAACTATGCGTAGAACTGTGATCTTTCCGGGCATTTTGATTATTTTATTCGGTAAGTGCTCAATAACGATTACAGCATTAATTCCTAGACGTAATGAACTATTGTAGTTTTCCATCGAGTAGTTGCAATTGTTCAAGTTTCGGATCACTTCCTAAGACAGCACGCGGAAGTCACACTGTGATGCAGCACGGAAATGGTTGCACAGTAGTAACTCTACAGTGATTAAATTCTGATCCTCGAATTCCTGACTCTGAAAGGCCTGCAGCGCTTTTGTCCCGCCTCTGGTGTTGCCTCTGCTGTTGGTGATCCGCCCGCTCATTTTCCATTTCCGTAACAAAACGATAGTATCAATAGTAGTATATCCTATAATGGTAATAAACATTGTACTACTAAGCGGACTGATGTGTGTGACAGAGCAATCACTGACACAACGGTGCGACAAGCAGAAAATCATATTGTTGGGCGACGGCAACATGGGAGCGACCTCTCACTTCAGCTGGCTCGGCTTATTCAAAGTGGCGATAGGTACTTAAGTCCATACATATTACTTATATTGGTTTTTATTACTTTTTTGTTCTCTTGTTTTTTTCGTTATTTATATTTAGCTGTGGTATCATCTGTGTCAAATAAATGCCTTCCTTCCTTCTTTGTTTCTAATAATATTTTTTGGTCCTTTAATCATTCCAAAACTTGTGTATTAGTTAGTTTGTTTTGGCAACGTTTGATAAAAAGAAAAAGAAGAAAAAAAATTTAAATTACCATATCATTTCACAGAACAGTTTTAAGTAAAACTGTTCTGTTTCTATGTACCAATTTGCTAGAGCTCTTCATTATATAATTTTTTTGGAAAAAGTTTTCATTCAAAATTTAGCAATTATATACATTTCCGTTACTATAGTAGGTATATTTTTAGTTAATGAAGTTAGGCGTTACTATTTAATTTTTGAATCAGTAGACTTGCTTCATTAGTGACTAAAATCTAACTTGGCTAGTTTTTTTTTTTTTAGCCTTTTTAGTTTGCGTACGGCGCGTAGCGTTCCGCGCGCGCCTCAAAGAGCCATCAGACCACCACAGATGGGGCCCAATAGGGCCGATGCCGATTCGGAGTCGCGGAGAACCTAACGGGTAACCGGGGCTCCGGCTCGACCTGCAGGAGAAGGAACGGGCTGGTTTTTAGTCAGTAAGAGTCTGACACTCCCTTCCGCCTCACCCAGGCGGGAGCAGTCATTCGATGATTTTCCCCACTTAAAAAAAAAGCCTTTTTAGTTTAGTTCCAAAACTAGCCCAAACAGATTTTATGTTCCAATACAATATGCCAAGTTATAAGGATAAGAAATACATTTTTCATTTTGTTGGAAATTGGTATATTCAATAGAATTTTCTGAAAATTGAATTTTACACACACATATTTGAAGTGAAGTGAAGAAGTGTTTAGCTAATGATGTCATACGGGTTGACTTTATATGAATTTTCACAGACAATGGGGACGTGGTGAAACACGCAGTAACTGCCATCGTGCTCATTAAGCCAAAATATGCGCTCGCCAATGCCGACGACATTGCCAAGATACCAGAGAATATCTTCTTGTAAGTATTCGTTGAAAACACTTAATAGAATTAACTAGCTTCAGTCCGCGACTTCGTACGCGTAATCCCATTTTTTCCCGTCGCCGTTCGTGATTTTCGGTAAAAAAAAAAATTTGGTCAAGAAGTATCCTATGTCGGTCTCCTGGCTACCTCCCTACCAATTTTCAGCCAAATCTATTCTGCCGTAATTGAGTTATAAGTAGTGTAACTAACACAAGTTTCTTTTATATATATAGATTACATTATTTGTGTTTTCTTACTCCACCATGGGGATTTTTCGTATTGTAAAGTTTGTAGTCTCCTTTATTGCGCTAATGTAAAGATTCGGAGTGATGCCGGACATGGCTGGTGTGCCAGATTCACATAAAGCTTGACTCTGACTTTCATGCTTGGATGATGTGTAGTCTATATGGTGGAACATGGTAAGAAATATTTTAATTATAATTATAGTACTTGGAACTTATAATATCTTCTGATTAATTTCATTGCGGGAACCAAGACAGTTATTCATGTCCCTGGCACGCGCCGGGCTTCAGTGTTCCAGTGTTTTCATGGTTGTATCTACTGTAGATCTTGGCTTGTAGGAGTTGAAGCGGTTTTGGGAAGGGGCGGCAGGCTCGTCCCTTAAAAAAAAACTCCTGGCCGGCCGAGTCACTGCCGCAATACCTAATTGCTTACCAGGTCAGGTAATCAGGCAGGTTCCGTAAAAAAGGATACCTTGGTTACTCCCAACTCTTCCTGCGAATTTATTATAAGCAGACTTACGAACTACATATAATATTACACAGATATCTACCGGGCAGCAGTGTTTTCTCTTAAACCCAATCCTTTAGAACTGGGATCTGTAATCCGCTTGCAAAATGTGTACAATGTAGTTAAAGTCGGTTTTGGAGAGGAGGCCCATAGGCTTCATAATAATACTTGGAAGTTTCTTAAAGTAGTTTATGAGAAATCTCCTTACCTAACAAAATAGTCGCGGAGAACCTAACGGGTAACCGGGGCTCCGGCTCGACGTGCAGGAGAAGGAACGGGGTGGTTTTTAGTCAGTAAGATTCTGACGCTCCCTTCCGCCTCACCCAGGCGGGAGCAGTCATTCGATGATTTTCCCCCCTTAAAAAAAACCTAACAAAATAAATGTTAGGTAAGTACTGAAAAGTACTTACCTAACATTTATTTCGATTTCTTGCTTCATATTTGAAGCAAAATTAATGTTCGAATTTTCTTTTAATATTTGAGTTTCGCTTTGAGCAGACTTTTTAGCAGTCAAACAAGAACATCATTAGAGTTCCAATAAGAGAAAATGTCGGTGATTTGTTGTTCCAGAGAAGACAGTACGGCGATGTTCTTATCGACAGACGGCGTGCCAGTACACTACAGGCCGCTGTCCTACGTCACCCATCCAGAGTACGACACCGTTGTGTACAGCTCCATTGCCGTCATCAAACTCGCTGTGCCAAATAACAGTAAGCTGTCACCACTTTAAAAAAAAAATCACTTTTTTTAGTCTTTTTAATTGACTTCTAAAAAAGGAGGTTTCAATTACCTTGACCGCATTGTATATTAAACTGTCAAACACCAAGCGGTTACCGGTGACCGCAACCTATTGTTCTTTAATTGTGTCTATAAATACGGTACTCGACGAGTTAATGCTGCATATCTCCTGCATTTATAAATAACACGATTTCAAAAAGTATTTTTGCTCACAAGAGAGTAGTGTATGAGTTGTTTGTTTGTTAGTTTGATAACACTAATCTCGGGAGCTACTGGTTCGATTTGAAATATTCTATTTGTGTTAGATAGCTCATTTATTGAAGTAGGCTATACGCTATAACACATCACGCTGCGGTCAAAAGGCGCCGAACAAAGCGGGTGAAACCACGCAGAAGTAGCTAGTCTTCTATAAATTCGAATGTTGGCGTTTACGCCTTCAGCCCATTAAATAAAAAAAAGCCCCAAAGTACAGATATTAATGTATTCATTCGGCCTACATCACTATGTGTAAATTTAAATACAATATTCGTACACTCTCGTGGACAGGTCCGCTGATTCCAATATGCTTGTCGAACAAGATGTACGACAACGATCAACTTTTCCTCTTCGGATATACGGACGGTAAAACATTTTCTGCTGTTATATAATTATAACATATTATTTACGTACGTGTCTGTACTATCATCAGTGAGCTATGTAAATGTTAATTCCTGCAAGTGAGTCAGGTACCAAGGCGTGGCCAGTAACAGTCGGACAGTCTCCTTCGTTCTCCTCAGCCGAGTGAATGATGACGATTGTCTACATGTCCCACTATTTCTGCGAGATTTTCGAAATCAAAAAGCCTCTTTAACTGGTCCTTCAGATATTTGCCTGGCCCAAAATCAAATTAAAAACTGGAAAGTCAAATTAAAAACTCCTTGCTCTTGATTCTATCTTCCGAAGCTTGTCGTACATTGTTACAGTCAACGACATATTGGAGAAAACGGTTTACAAGATCCAATCGATAGATAACCAGCAATGCGACCAGTTCTATACGACAGAGGGCGTGAGTACATCGTATTAGTTATTAAGCAGTTTACATTTGTATGGGGTACTGCGTAAGTACTACGTAATTTGTTTGTTCCGCTTTCACGCTGTAACTACTAAACCGATTGCTTTGAATTTTTGCAGATGTATAGTTAGAAGTCCGGATTAAATAATAGAGTACTTTTTGTCCCGGAAAAATGTGATATTCTCGAGGGAAAACAAAAGTATTGGTATAGATGGCGCTGTGTGTATTATGTCACATAGGCTACTTTTTATCCTTTTGTAACGCGAGCGAAGCCGCGGGTAAAAGCTAGTTCTCTATAAATGTTTCATGCAAGCGACGTTAAAGCGTGCAGTAATAAGCCGAGGTTATAGTTTCACCGTTTGCAAGGTAGTCCACCATGATCACACCCATGGCATCCCAAAATACTGACGTCATCACCTTGCCAGCTGACAAAACCTTTTTGGCTTTTTTTTGGAGTCTGTTCATCAGGTTTTTTCTACTGCTTGGATTGCTGTTTTGACTCTGGGGTGTAGTAGTGTATGCAAGTTTCATCCATTGTTACAAATCTGGCTAAAATATTTTGTGCATCAGCCTCAAACATTTCCCTCAACGTTAATGACATATCTTCGAAAATCTATAATTAATGGAGTTATTTTTTTAACAAGTATTTGATGACGACACGTTGCTCAATTTTCTCCATCCTATAAAAACGGTGCACTAAAGCTCATAAAATTCAGTTTAATTTAAACAGGTTGCTCACAGGTAGGCGTGCTCCATCGTCGGCCACATCGTCGCTTACCATCAGGCAAGATGGTGGTCAAACGTCGACCTATAAAATATAAAAAAAATACAGTTAATGCTATTGCGATAAAATCTGACGATTTGACAACTAGAGAGTAAATAAACAAATCGAATGACGTCAGTTACATTAAAATAGTTTAAGTATTTATGAGTTAGGCCGCGAACTTTTTAATCTACCTCACAATCTGATGGCAAATAAATCAGCGCCGCCCAAGGACACCCGTCACACCAGAGGAGTTACAAGTGCGTCGCTTCTGAGAGTGGGGGATTGGGCATGCAGTACCTAACCTTACTTCCGAAATACACCGCAAGCGTTGTCGAGGCCACGAGGCTGTGGTGTCAAGCATGGCTCTCTCACATCAAACGATTGGGTAGCTTCCAGTGTAAGAAAATTAAAAATCTAATTAGTCAGTTAGATTATGAAAAAGTATTAGACACGTATTTTTCATTTTCTCGTATAACAATACACGTTACAATACTCAGATATAATGGAGTTAAGTTGTGTTGAGTTAAGTGGGAGGTAGTTACGTCACATCGTGCTGCATTTTGTGCACGTGCACGCTGTGACGTCACACGACATTTCAAATCAATATATCGTCGAAAGCATTGAATTTTGTGAAAAAAGAAAAAATACGTGTCTAATGTCTTAAAATAATCTACCAGACGGACATTAAAATAAAATTTAGGAAACTAGTCAGTGAGCTACATTTTGTCATGTTATTAACCTTTTAGAAATTGGTTAATACTAGTACATAGGTTAAAAGTATGTATGTACAGCAGGTACTTTTAGCTTCCTATCTTTTTCATGATACTGAAATGATTGCCACTCAATGAATGTGGATTTAAAATAAATGTCTAGTTTGAGGTGTAACTTGACTGACTTCCAGCTGGTAGACCAGCGGCGCAAGCCTCAGTCGTACGTGTGCGGAGTACAGCAGCACAACAGCGCGCCCTGCATCTGGGAGAACGGCTACGTACTGGCCTCCAACACCACAGGCTGGTTCTCATTCGTACGTACCACAAACATTCTTCATTGATCTTAATCTTTCTACTTTCATTCTGCCGCATGCCGTACCATAAAAGGCGAAGTCATTTTTCATTAGTCACTACGAATTCACCCACGGCGTACGATACAAGAGAAAATGCTATTGTGTAGTCGTTTCCTTGATAAAGGATTTTCTCTAGAGCCGTTGTTGCATTTACAAGAAAAACTCACGTAAGTTTACGAACTTCGATAATGAGTGTATAAATGTGAATGGTTCTTTCTTTAATTTTATTAATATTTGCGGCTCATATGTGTCGCAGTCATCTAGTTGAACCTGTTGTCAGATTGAATGACGAGCGCGTTAACACGTTAACCGCGGCGTACGTCACCGGTGACCTACGTTAGCGGAGGATTTGCCTTCAATATTTTTCTGTCGGCAGTCAAAGGCTTAATTGAAATTCTAATAATATGAAACTTGAATGTACGTACTTAAAACGTAAGGTGATACAAGCAAAATCCATTCATTAATTCTATTTTGGAATACTGTATGATATATTATTATTACCGTGCCATGGCTATGATAGCTTCCAAACATTAGTAGTCTAATCTGTGGCAAACGTGGGTACGCCACATGTTTGCCCACTATCCTATAACAAACAAAAAATTCGTAGAAGTGATCGATTCACCAAGTGAGCGTTGTACTACAAAACAATGAGAGTTATGCGTGATAAGTAATGCGGAATAAAATTCTGAGTATCAAGATTCTGCCAAACAGAAAAAGCCCACCACAAATTTTATTCCATTAACTTGCAAATCGTATGCAAAAGTGCAGAGTTGGTCAATATTATAATAATTAATTATGTATAACTCAATGATGTTTAGATGAGTACCATTGAGTGACTTCGAGTTGCAGATTGGGTTCAGTGTGCACGGGCCGGGATGTGGGGTGCCAGGTCGCTTCATTTTCATGGTGCACTACTTCTCTTGGATCAACGCGGTCACGCACGTCGTGACTGCCAGGCGAAGCAATGCTGCAACAGAAGTACCTATTCATGGAATCAAATCGTACGTACCTCTATGAATATAAAAACGTATCCTTACTAATATTATAAATCTGAAAGTGAGTTTGTTTGTTTGTTTGTTCCACCTTCACGCCGTAACTACTCAACCGATTGCTTTGAATTTTTGCTGACGTAAAGTTAGAAGTCCGGATTAAATAATAGGGTACTTTTTAACCCGGAAAAAATTGATATTCCCGAGGAAAAACAAAAGTATTGGTATAGATGGCGCTGTGTGTATTGGTATATGTCACATAGGCTACTTTTTATTCTTTTGTGACGCGAGCTAGGCCGCGGGTAAAAGCTAGTAGTATATAATTATATTCTTAGCGAATCGTCCTACTCCAGAGCCTGGTCCGAGCGGTAGGCTATAAAAGATAGCGCGCGCTTGGAAGCTATCGGATAACGTATCAATACACATGACGGATAATAGTTATTTTTCTTTTTAGTTGTTATACTTGAAGGTCGACTTTTTCCAAAACCAACTCATCAAATCCCTGAAAAATTCTGTCGGTGCATACGCCAACACCTTATACATACATATATTCTAAGAAGTGAGGACAGTTTTAATAATGCAAATTTACTCCCTGAGACACACTACATCATCATCATCATCATCATATCCACATGACGTCAGGACGTCCACTGCTGAACATAGGCGTCCCCCAATGACTTCCAGATAGGCCGGTGGGAAGCGCCCTGCACCCAGCGGCTCCCTGCATTACATCAATAAGATTGGAATTTGTTTTAAAAGAGTAACGATTAACTTTTTTACTCGTTCTTCTTCGATCGAAGCGACACCTGAGAACGAGCGCGTAGCTTAATTGTCCATCCGTCTGTCAGTGATGACAGACGGATGGACAATTAAGTTATTGACTTTTCACAAATGCCTAATTATTGATTAACTAAGATAAACGCTTTGACTTTGACTTTTATGAATACAATGCAATTGATTATTATGTTTTTCGGCTTACTTATGGAATTACTTGACGAGGAACTCTACTAGCCACGTTACAGGCTCATATTTATGCATTCCGCGACCCGAGACGCGGCTACTGTGGCGCTGCTACTTACGTGAACTACTGCTACGCGCTGCTAACATAGTAATTAATTTAGTA